AACCTCAATGGGTTATTTAATGCCGACAACATTTTTAGGATAGATTCGTATGAATAGAATATGTATTCTTTGTTTTAGATTGGTTTGGTTTATTTTGTTTTACGGCATATCAACCTCAATGGGTTATTTAATGCCGACAACATTTTTAGGATAGATTCGTATGAATAGAATATGTATTCTTTGTTTTAGATTGGTTTGGTTTATTTTGTTTTACGGCATATCAACCTCAATGGGTTATTTAATGCAGACAAAAAATTATTGCTGGTAATATTTTATTTTGTCAAAAATCTGTTCTGGTAATTTATTTCCTTCTAAATTGTATTGCCGGTAATAGTTAACTATTTGCCCATAGCTGGGACATTAACAGGTGATACCACCCCGGCTCAGGGTGGACCTGGGAACACCAGCAATTAAGAGGTGGCTCCACGCTACACAAAACCTCCTGATCAGAGGCTTTCCTGCTGGGCGTAGTTTAACGTCTTTCCCTTGACGAACTGCCCCTCAGGAAGTCCCGCAGTTAGTATTTATGAGAGGAGGAAGAATTCATTCTACTGTAGGAGGGTTTATCACAACAATTATCAAATACAGTAAAATACTTGCGTACTACTATTACTCCTATGACGACTACTAGTGAGAATTAAACTAAGAACAAAGTTAGCCGTGAAAGACATCTCTAATATACATCTCTCCTTTCAAGATTTCCTCCATGGAATCGGAAGTTCTTGTGAAAATGTGATGAAAGATTTTTTTCAGCACTTATTTAGAATTTAATAGAATTTTCCTTAATCCTTGAATGATTTCAAAATAATCGATTCAGTTCCATTCGATCAGAAACTAAAGGAAATGTAACAATTTCAACTGCTTCGAAAATGGATCTCGTTTACTGATATATATATATATATATATATATATATATATATATATATATATATATATATATATATATATATATATATATATATATATATATAATATAGATATACTGTATATTTTACTTTTTTAGAAATAATTATATAAATATAAATATATCGTTCTCATTCGCCTTCTTCTGTCAAAACTGACAAGGTATTTAGTAGACAATTTATTGCCATTGCCAGAGCAAATCCAATAATTAAATAAGTTTGTAGATTGCCAAGGTATAAAATCATTCATTGTTTTTTCCGTCTATAATACTCGTGTGTCACTAAAAAAAATCGTCGATGACTGTTAATTAGACTTGGATTCCTGTTTTCCCTTTGTGTGAGTAATATCAGTTCTCTCGAATAGAATTTGCAGCCTTGGTCGCCTATCCCGTTCTTTGAAGCAATTTTACTTGACACGTGACTTCGCGCGTGCGCACAACCGTATATATGTAAATGAAGCTGTCATAAAGAATAAAGTCATGTTCATTTAAAAGAAAAACGAGATATCGTCAAATAGATCAGTTGTATGCTTAGCGGAGGCGACTTGTAGATTCCCGCATTTTCAATGCGTTTTCGTCTAAATAAATTCCATTTATTACTTTTTATTATTTTTTTTTCCAGCTCAAAATTATAATCGCAAGCGTTTCAGCGGCAAACGGATACACTGAATACAATGTATTTCAATATGTTCCTTGTTCTTAATACTTGCGTACCAGAAATGAGTGCTTGTAATGAAACAATATGGGGTGCCTAAACCGTTTTTAAAAAACCCAAATTGAACTAAAATATAAGTTCAAATTAAAATCTAATTTCTATAAAAAAAAATTAAATTCAAGCATTCAACCGCCTACCATGAATCGCGTTTTATCTCGCTAATATAGATTTTCTTCTTGTGAAATAAAATTCTTTTGCTGATGAAGTTGGATCATCGATGAAACATGTTAAAGTTAAGTTCTTTTTGTGAAAGTACACACACACATATATATGAATAAAAAGCGACAAGATGAAAAACTATATTTAGCCGACGCGTTTCGTCCTTTGAGGGACTTTATCAAGGCAATGTAGGATTTATTTTGATCCATCACTTCAGCCTTTAAGATGCACAGCACAAACGTCCATCTCATACCACGACAATCTAAATCACAATCCAAACAATATTCATTTAAAAATATTATTGGATATTACTCGCTCACTTTAGTTTTTACACTTTGTGTCCTCCACAACATGTTTTAACTGACCTTTCAACCACCTGATGAATATTCATGAACGTTCTAAAATTTATAAGCCTTGATAAACCAATGACATCCACGCCTCTGTGTTTATAAACACGTGCAGCATAATAAATGCTATATTGCTTTGAATAAGTCCCTTAGAGGATAAGTATAGTTTTTCCTCGTCTTTTTTTTAATTCATTTTGCGTCTTCTACAGGTACACTCTACCTGAGAATATTTACACACACACACACACACGCACACACACACACACACTCTCTCACACACACACACACACACACACTCACACACACACACACACACACACACATATATATATAAATTACATCAAAATGAAAGTCACTTGTATCCCATATTTATGGCCATTTCGCTCCTCGGGATAAATTCTTTGGAACTTGTCAATACTAAAACGTTTGAGAAAAAAAAAAAACGAAAGCAAAAAACAAGGAGGAGCGAAATGGCCATAAAGATAGGGTACAACTGAGTTTCATTTTTATGTAATTAATTTTTATGCTCTATAATAAATATATTGAGCTCTCTTTTGTGGATCAGTTTTAATATTTAATATCAATAGGATTCATTTGGATTACTTCCCCATGGATTTTTTATATATATATATATATATATATATATATATATATATATATATATATATATATAGACACAAGGTAAACTTATCTTTCCCAAAGTATTTTATCCTATGTTGGATTTTATCAAATGTAAGTATTTTATTTCTCAACATGTATTTGTAAACACAAGTAAAAAATATCTTAAGGTTTTTAAAATTTTTAAATCTAAGAACACTCAAAAATATTCTTATGGAAATATTCTTTTTGTGGAAGTTGAAGATAAACTATGGAGGCTTCTAAGAGATATAATTTAATACCTAATAAATGAAAGTAAATGTGGCAATTTTTTAAATTTGTTTTATTCCTTTATATATATTTATTTACTATTTTATTAATGTACTTATTATTATTTTATTTTAATTTGAGAAATAATTCATATATTTATTTATTTTCAATAATAGAAGGCTTTGATTTAACCATTTTCTTTTCATTTTTCAAAATACATAAATAATTCATGTTTATAATCTCGTGATATATATATATATATATATATATATATGTGTGTGTGTGTGTGTGTGTGTGTGTGTGTGTGTGTGTGTGTGTGTGTGTGTGTGTGTGTGTGTGTGTGTATAAATAAATATAAATAAATATATATATATATAATTATTTATATATTATATACGCGGTACTTATTAGAAAGCGCTCAATATCAGCCATAGAGCTAACGATCGCAAAAGCGTGAAACCAAGAGTCACAAACTCGCATCAATCCAACCAAATATATATATATATATATATATATATATATTGCGGGAACATTGTTATTATTAGAAATTAAAATAAATATAAAATAATAATAATTATGAAAATTATGAATAAAATAAAATAAAATTTGAACCTCGTTTAAAATAAATTAAATAAATAAAGCATAAAAATAATAAAATTATTTCCAGCATGCAACAGGGACAGTCCCGGCCGGAAATAAGAACATCCCGCCAAGAGACGTGAGATTCACTCTCTTTGCCCAGTACTGTCAGAATGACAGCACGTGTATAAATTCCCTCCATGATAGGACTTGTGATATTACGGAGGGACTTGCTCCCTTCTATAACATGAACCTTATCACGGTTATAATGTAAAATACACACACTAATACACACAAAGATATAAATAAAATTGTATGAAACTACTATACAATTTACCATGTTCTTTTTATTGCTATTATGTGCATTTTTTGTTCTGTTTTTCCTCGTGAACACAAGCGTCAAACATATGACCACATGGTGTGAGTGAATATACTTCCACAATATATATATATATAATATATATATATATATATATATATATATAAATTATAATTTTAATATATAGACAAAAACAGTTTACTTACTACAAAGATGTAACTTCGTTTCGGTGCATTTCAATTGCACATCGACTGGTGAGATACAAAAATGGTTATCACCAGTCGGGGTGCAATTGAAATGCACCGAAACGAAGTTGCATCTTTTGTAGTAAGTAAACTGTTTTTGTCTGTATTATAAAATATAATAAATAATTATCGCTCTACTATCGGTATCGAGCCCTCTTTTGAATTAATGGTGTGAACGTTAGAATTTAATTATTACTTTCGTTCTCATTGCATCGGATATATATATATATATATATATATATATATATATATATATATATATATATATAGTTTATGCAAAACTAGGTAATGGGTAGACCCTAGGAGGATGATATCCGGAGAGCTCAATGTAAATTCAGAGCAAATAAATTTGAATAAAAACAGACCATTTTAAGGTTCCATGTAATAAATTATTTCACCACAGCCCTTTTAAAGGGCTCTGGATCATCAGACTTTACTTCCAAATGTTGAAATGAAAAGTGAAAAGAAATTTACACATTTTTGACGGGCCGTATTAACCATATGTAAATTAACGAAGTGAGGAAGTGAAAATATATATATATATATATATATATATATATATATATATATATATATATATCAGAAAAAAATTCGTTATGTATATTTTATTTATATCTGAATTTTTAGACACTTATATATATTGAAAGAAACAAGTGGTTGGATGGAATGATTCCCATTTATGTGGTTCGAACGCATCTGGTAGAAGAGCTTCGATTATTAAAACTATTAATCTCGTGCGATTTGACGAGACTGTTATGAAATGTGGTATTTAAAAAACCGGACCTCAAACACTGCGGAATACATTACGGATGTTCATTTAGTCATAGACGGAAAATGGCTGAGCCTTAGTCCATTAACTGAAAGATTTTCAATTAATGTATTTTTCCCCTGTGTAACTTTGATAAAACACCGATCCGATATTTCTCCAGTCTAACCCACCGTCATCCATTTTAATGCCTTGTTTTGTAGTTATGAGACATAGAGAGAGAGAGAGAGAGAGAGAGAGAGAGAGAGAGAGGAGGGGGTGATTGTAAATTAGATTAGCAGTATGAAAAAGCGTATTTACAGGCATATATAGATATGAAGAGACTGAAACAGAGGATTAACAGAACGGTATTAAAACAGGAGACATGTGGACAGATGACGTCATTTCATTTAACTGCCAGAGATTGATTTTGACAGGAAAAAGTACAACTTTTCTATCCACTTGCAGACCACCACAAACTAGCCACGATTGGCAGTGAAATAGATTAATGTTTATATATATATATATATATATATATATATATATATATATATATATATATATATATATTTGGTTGGATATATATTTATATATATATTTGGTTGAATAGATATGTTACCTCTATCTCTGATATTGAGCGCTTTCTAATAAGTACCGCACATATAATATATAAATAATTATACATATATATATATTTATTTATATTTATATACACTTTTCACATATATTTATTTATATATATATATATATATATTTATATATATACACACACACACACACACACACACACACACACACACACACACACACATATATATATATATATATATATAGATAGATAGATTCATGAATTATTCACACAAAAACAAATGCAAAGGTTAATGATTTAACTGGCGAGAAATCCATCGTCGCAAACAATTCAAATAATATACAAAAACCTCCGAATCCGTTATGAATGAAATGATCCTTGTTTCTATAAATTTCTGCCGTATTAGTTCTTATTTTTACTATAAGCTTTCGTCTGTTCCTACAGATATCTTCAGCTATAGAATAGATGTTGTTCTTGTTTTTTCTCTTAGTAATAAGAGGACAACGAAAATATATGTATGGTTGTATCCGAAAATGCTATTGGAAATGAGTTATTGTTTTTGAAGCGCGCATATAATATATATATATTAAGAAATGGACAAAGTCCGACAATTTATTTATTAAAGACATTTTTATGTTTAAAGTTCTTTTTTATAGATACAAGTATTTAAGTAAATGCTCTGTTTATAATAAATTAATTAAATAAATAAATAATAAGTAAATTCGACCTTGCCTACCGAACGCTCCTTTGTGGCCGAGACGGTAAGGCACGTCAGCGTAAATGACGGTTCCGTATAGGATGCAGGTTCGAATCCTGTCAAAGGACGAATATTTTCTATGAAAATTCTCGGACATTCAGGCTGGTAAATGTTATTTACGAATTTACTTAAATACTTGTATCTTTAAAAAGAACGTTATCTATAAAAATGAACTTTAAATATATATATATATATATATATATATATATAAACCGTTCCTTGTACCAAGGTGATAGTCAGGTAGAACCAATAAAGAAGAACTTGAATACGGATATGGAATATCACAGATATATTACAAAAGGAATATATACAGAGAAGTAGAAAGTGTTAGTATGAATAATCAGGTTTAGTAGTAATTGTCTGAACGTGACTCTGTTTTGGACTGCCTCTGACTCGACTCTTGACTCGCTCGATCTGACTGACTGACAGACTCCTGACGGACTTCACTCCAGACTTCAGACTGAACAGTATTTAGTCACCACCCCCACGAGGGCATCATGTGGCACAAGGCCGGTTTAACGTGGGATCTCCGAGCCCGTGGGCTCGGCCCAAAATATGCCCTTTGAACTCGTATAAACGGGTTTAGGGTCGGTTTACCTCCCCGAAAGAGATTCCGCCCTTCGGCGTAGCCTCGTTTGGGTCCCCCCCCCCCGAAGGCAGAGTTCAGCCGACTTCGGACCGAACTCCCTGCTTCCTCTTGAGGCGCAGTATTTATTACGTATGGAATAGTCCATTATGTTATTCTGGGTAAGGTCCGATAACACACACACACACGCACACACACACACACATATATATATATATATATATATATATATATATGCTATTAGGTTAGGGTGTCCCAAAAAATTTGGCATCATTATAAAAAAACAATTTTAAAAGCAATTGCCTTGAAAACTAATAAGTCTAGTTCAATGAAATTTAACAGTTTGGGTATTGAACATAATAATTATGGGGCCGATTTCATAAGTGTTCAATATGCATACCGCCTGTGACACGGCACACGACAAGTCGGTAGTTATGCTCTTGGCAAATACGCTGTAGCAGGTCTCCGGTAACATTATCCAGTGCGAAAGTGATTCTCTGCTTGAGTTCATCAATGCTAGCAGGAAGAAGTGGGTAGGGGACACACAGGCCGTCACTTCACATATCACTATAAAAAGAAATCACACGGGGACATGTCCGGTGACCGTGGCGGCCATTTCATCAGAAAATTGCCTTCATCTTCACCACGCCTGGTCCATCTCTCTGGCAGATTCTCATTGAGATAATCACGTACTGTCCTCTTCTATTAAATATAAAATCTTGATCTGTTTCTATACATTCTGTGAAAAATGAAGATTATTTTAATAAGAATTATCAAAATTATTGGCATGCGAAATGATGTCAAATTTTTTGGACACTATAAAATAATATATATATATATATATATATATATATATATATATATATATATATATATAGACAAAAGAAAAAAACTTTTCCTTACCTAAAGCGTTTCGTCTCCTGAAGGACCTTATCTAGGTCAATGCAGAGACTTTATTTTGTAATTCGCATTTAAAAACAGAAGGAAAGGAAAAATATCAATAAATTACCAAATTTAAAATTTTAGAAGACTAATACTCTTAAGACTAACTGTGTAAGGAAAGGTAAACTATAGACAACGCTAAGTGATGTCATTTATTGTCTAATAAACGAAAGTAAGTAAATGTTATTGTGAAATAAAAGTTTTCCTTTTGTCGTTACTGATATTGTCTTTACAGATATATATTCTATTTATATCTGAAGTTTTAGACACGCACTCACATACATGCGCGTGCACATCCATTCACCCCCATATATATATATATATATATATATATATATATATATATATATATATATATTATTTATTTATTTATATTTATATTTAAAGCGTCCTACCTCCAAATCCTGGGCGGAGTCGTTTATCATATCCTTCCAACATTGTGTTCAGAACGTGCGACATTTTGTTTTTTCTCCGGACAAGTTTCAAGGCATCGCTGAGGAAAATTAGACACGAACTGCAATGAGAAAGAAGGGAATGAAAATTAACTTCAAATTATACACACACACACACACACACACACACACACACACACACACACACACACACACACACATATATATATATATATATATATATATATATGGGCTTACACGGGAGCGTCTTTTAAAATTCTTGAATTTCATGAAACTACACAACATTTCACTTTTATTTATCATCCCTTGCCTTGATAAAGATGAATGGCGAAATGCGTCGGCAAGGACAACATACTATTTTCTGATTGCCTATTTTATTTGTCTTTTCTACATATATAGTCTATATAGAACTTTAACGTGTATATATATATATATATATATATATATATATATATATATATATATATATATGTCCAGGCTTGAGGCATTCAGTTTGTCTAATCGCACTGAGGAGCTGTGATACAGCGAAACAGTATTGTCTGCGAATGTATATATATATATATATATATATATATATATATATATATATATATATATATATATATATTAGATGTATTATGTCTACTTATTTTAGTTTTAATCTTTGCAAGTCCATGAATTAATTTATCTATATAATTATTTTGAATTTACGGTGTTAACGCATAACACATTCATAGATATGCAATCCTTGAAGATGGTCTCAGTTGAGATTAAAAGTACTTAAGACAATAAAAATTATTTGAAAGAAAATTTGGGAATATTTCTTAATTAATTTTCTGCAGCCATCATGAAATTAATTCGTGGACTTGAAAGGATTAAAACTAAGTCGTAAATTGTTGCGACGAGTTTAAATGTAAAAGCAACCCACACTCAACAAAATTACCTTTCAAACTAGTCATAACAGATTGTATTGCATCTAAACATATGGTTCTGCTGTTAATATTTCGGTCTCTCACGTGGTATGACGTCATAGAACCGCATCATGAATTTACGACCTGTGTCTGCTATTCCGCGACCGTTATCGTCGCATAGCAATCTTCTATGTCAACATAATAAAATGTTATCTTCCATGGTGAATATCCTTGTTTAAATGTCCAACAACCACTCTGAAGATAGCCTTAGTGAGTCGAAACCTCAGATCAAGATCAGGCTTAATGAAAAATATCCAAATGTCGGACAATTTTTGTCTTTATTTTCACCCGAAATTAAAACAACGATACGAAGTTTAGAATGGCTCATGATCAGACATAATTGACATTTATTGTTTGTCATATTTAACAATAAATGTGTTTATATATATATATATATATATATATATATATATATATATATATGTATGTGTGTGTGTGTGTGCGTGTGTGTGTGCGTGCACAAACCTACCACACAGTTTGAATGTAATTGTAATGGTCATCTGTGTCACTAGAATTAATTCTCCTTTCTGTCTGCCCAAAAATTTTGGTTAACTGGAAAAAGAGTTTAAGATGAAATATGCAATCTTTTGAAGACATTTTTTATGACTCTCTCTCCCTCTCTATTTAAATTGTATATATGTTTCCAAATAGATGTAGTATTTTAAATTTGACATTTGATCATCTTACTTTCTGCGGAGTTTCAGGTGTCGAACTAGTATTAGATAAAAAAAGACATTCGAATTTGTCATATTTGAGTGGTACATCATCGTTTTTGGAAACGATCTTCTCGACTAGAGGACATTTAACAAAACAATGAGAAAAGGTTAACATTTCGAATGCTAAAGAAAATTAGAATAATTCAAAATTGAACGAAAAAAGCAGCACCAAATAATTTCGAGCCAAGTTTAAATTTTAAATAAGAAAATGACATTTGGAGTTTATTTGGCTAAGTTTGATATGTAGATTCAGTCAGGCAGATGAAAAAATAGAGTTGTTTCCACATAATCAAAGATTCTTTTCTCCAGAAATTTCCAAGTTAATGAAATTTAAATTTTCTGCTCTTTGCATGATTTTAAAATATTCAACTCAATTCCAGTCGATGGGAAGCAAAGTTAAAGCTAAAATGGAAATTGTATCTAAAGAGGAAGAAGAAGACAAAAATATTTGAAGTAAAGTATTAAGTAAATATAGTGTTTACCCAAATCTATATAGACATAGAAATAAAACTAGTTTCCTTTTGTCAAGACTAGCAATGGATATAGCGGGGATTTTGCTTTCAGTGATGAGATAATCCTTAACGAAATATATTGTATCATGTAGTTAACGTTTTTTTCTTTCTTCCTTATTTTGGCTTTACAAAAACAATACTGAGGATAGGATATAACGTAGGAGAATTTGGGGTCATGCCTTTCGGAAAATGATACAAATAGTCACAGTAGAAATTTTTATTCAGACCATCTGTTTTTTTATGTTGGTCTGTTAGCTTTACGCCATCTTGCACCCTTACGCGCCCACGTTAGCTTGGATTCAAATTTAATATCTGAATAAATGTTTGCAATTAGTATATATATCCATAGTATCAAGCAACTTGGAAGGCAAATTGTTCATGCCACACCTCAAGGTGGACGAAAAAACGGACAGGTATTCTCTTCGGATCCTACAGTCGATGTTCCTTGCCCCCATCTGCAACCATATCTGCGTATCTGAACTCGACCTCAGAAGTCAAATGCCTGCAGACTTTGCACGACACATTCGTCTTTTCAAACTTTAAGTGATTACGATTATAATGGAATATTTACAGCAAGAATTCCACAGAGATCGGCTTCAAAGAAATTTCGTGAATAATAAAATCCTTTTAGAATAAAACATTTTTAAAGTCAGATGAAAGAAGTGAAGAAAATAAAATATTGTGACCACTGAATCCATGCTAATAAAATACAATAACTCTTTTATAAATATTCATTTTTTACACAGGCCTAGATAATGTTCGTCATTTTAACAACAAGTCAAAATTTAATGTCGAAATCTGTTAGGAAAGATCAATAGGAATTATTAGATAAGTAGAGATAGAAAAAATGTACATTTCAGATTTGGGTGTGGTTTATACTTGAGTCAAAAGGTCGACATAGGTCCAATTTATACTTGAGCCAAAAGGTACACATAGTTCCTGGTTTGCTTTTGGGCCAAAAGTCGACATAGCCTGGATTTATACTTGGGCCAAAAGGACGATTTGGTCCTGTTTTGTACTTGAGCCAAAAGACATAGACCTGGTCTGTACTTGGGACAAAAAGTCAACATAGCTTGGTTTGAACTTGGGCCAAAAGGTTGACATAGGCCTGGTGTGTACTTTTTTTTTACAGTAAGGATGACCTTGTACATGGCCCGGGTTCCACTCGTGGTAGAGGGTTACATTAAAAGGCAGTTTATGCGGATAAGAGAGGAAGATAACGGTTAACTCTGGACTTGAAGAGGATAAGATTGTAGTGATCGGGGAAACATCCCCTTGGGAGTTGGTTCTGCAGGGCAGTGGTTCGCGGGAAGAAATTGTTCGAATGGAAATTACTTCTCACCAATGAAACTCGGAGGGAATGTGGACGGTTTGCTATAATGTGAGTGACCTGGAGGATTCTGGCAGTGAATGTGAGACCCTATGGAATGAAAGAATCTACTTTGTCCGAGGACTTTCCATGGAAGAAACGATAGAACAGTGAGAGGCTTGACACTGTGTGTGTGCGCGTGTGTGAGATATATATATATATATAGAGAGAGAGAGTGAGAGAGAGAGAGAAAGAGAGAGAGAGAGAGAAAGAGAGAGAGAGAGAGAAAGAGAGAGATAGATATATAGAGAGAGAGTGAGAGAGAGAGAGAGAGAGAGAGAAAGAAAGAGAGAGAGAGAGAGAAAGAGAGAGAGAGAGAGAGAGAATGAGAGAGAAAGAAAGATGTTGGAGAGCGGAAAATAATTCGTCTCCCACAAGGACTCGGAGAAGATTTTGGACTCTATCGATGCTGGAGAGTGATGACTGGGCAACTCCCGACCAAAAATGATAACAGTTACTCCATTTTTACTCCTGATCTGGCTCTCGTAAAGGTAGACGATAGCATGTGGAGTCAGGTACTTACTAGAGCGGTACAGGAAGCCGACCATTTTCCCTGAATCTTTTGTGATGTATAATGTGCACGAGTTCCACTTGAGTTCAGCTGTGAGTTTAAGGCTCAATAGTCTCTCAAGGAACGGAGCCTCCCCAATTGGATATCCATTTATCAAGACTAACGGAGTCCAATCGGCAATTTGTTTTTCGAGGCATTGGATGTAACTATCCAGATCCCCTAGTGCTAGATCAAATGAAAGATCAGCTGCCGATATCGCAAATGCAGTTGGTGTTTGGAATGCACCAACAACAGGACATTTCTTACATAAGTAAATAAGACGAGGCGTAATTTACTAAAGGATAGCGGCTCGGATTGAGGAATCGGAGAGCCGAGTTCGAATTCCAGTCAAATCCATTACATTCACTTACGTGCTAATAACATTGAGAACGGTATGAATCCTCTTCTTCCCCCAGCGTTGGGTAAATAGCAGGACAGACCGGGATCTATAGCCTTGGATGGCAACTGGTCTACCGCAGAAAGAAATGGCAACCAACTGTGGGAAAAAAATCTGCCTCACTTAGGCGATCATGTATCGAAAGATACATGATTGCCTAAGCGTGTACCACGCATGGCACATAACTGATCTTGACTTTAAATTCTTTGAAGTAGCGAAAACTCTTTGATTCTGATACTGTCATATAAATTTGAGCCATATGCAAATATCCTAATCATTGACACAAGAGCGATGAAAGGCATCACCCACTGAGTAAATTATTTAGTTATTTGAATTTGTACTCCGGTATTTTCATGCAATAGAATTGATCTGTCATCGAATACTGTAGTTCCCAAGATAGTGGAGCGATTGAGTGATTGATTTGTCTGTTTAACAGTATATCAATTCCTTATGGGTCATTTAATGTCGCAATTAAATTTCTTGGGAGTTTGTAAAATAATAATAATAGTAATAATAAAAGTAAGAAAAATATGAAATGTTATTCTGCTTTCACAACTGGATACATGGTAGATGATACTCAGCTTTTGTGCCTATACATGTTTGTGTGGACATGATTACTAGAGGCGTTGATATGTGTTTTGTGTTGTTTTGCTGAAGTTATATTTTGGTATACAGTTTGATTTAACAAATTGTAGGATATTATATGGATTAGTACTTTCATGGTTATTTGGTAGTATTTTAAACAGATTTCGATGAAGTCGTTACAGTTTGTTAGTATGTGCGTATTGTTGGTAATTGTTTAATATGAAAACGTATTTTTATACTTTCGTAGTGTTTTGTTTTTGTTTGGGTAGAGTTCATTATTTGCCAATAGCTGTGACTCATAACAGGTGCGACCACGCCGGTCAGTGTGGATCTGGGGACAGAAGCAAATAAGAGGTAGTTCTAGGCTCTTCAAAAGCTCCAATTTCCCTCCATCTTGCTGCCGGATGTAGTTTATCGTCATACCCAGGACTAATATTGGAACGAAACTGAGACTTTTAGGATATGAAACTTTAAAGCAACCTCTCTTCTCTTATCATTTCAGGTATTGTGTAAGATAAAAATCTCAATAATCACAGGGCAATTATTTAAATGTAAAAAAAAATCCAACCTTTAAAAGAACTTGAGAAAGATAAGATAAATCCGTTGTGAAAAGGTAATAGAACCATATCAAGAAATTTGGATTAAAAGTTATGATATAATTTTTTTTTTTAGTAATGGTCACCCTATACAAGGCCCAAGAGACATTCAAGGTAGAGGGTTACTAAATAGTCTATTGGTACTGTATAAGTATACACAGCAGTATTTTAATAACTTTAATTTTATACTGGTTATATTTTCTGCAAGAGTAATCTAGAATTTTTACCTATGTTATTAAATATATTGTGGGGTGTAAGAAAGTATTTGGCTTCTAGAAACTTTAAAAGTAAAAACACCTGAAGAAAGCTAACAATGAAACAAGTGAAATAAAAACCAGTATATTAGCAGCCTGATCCCCCTTACATAAAAATAAGTGATTCCATAGTATTATCATTCATTCTCAATGAGCAGTGTCCCCTGTTACTATAACAACGGTACATCTTATTAGCAAATAGATCAGGCTACGTGACCGATACTCATGTAAAGTTCTATTGCATTTTATATTATAGAATATATACAGACAAACCTCTCATATACGGATTACCCATCAACGGACTTCGGATGCAACGGACAAAATCTCCAGGCAAAAACATTTGCAAGAAAAAAAAATTCCAAATCGTCAGCGATGTATTTCAAAATCTGAGGGCTTAGCGGAACGAGCCGTATTAGTTCTCAAAATCACCGTTTGACGGCGGTAGCGGGCTTTTCAATTGTAAACAAAGACGGGTGTACAGTATATAAAGTACGATACATTAGCGCATGCGTGAGAAAGTAGCTGTGAGAAATCTATTTTTGTTATTTTGATTAATATATCCATATTAATTATATTTATTTATGCCATATATACATGTTTATAGCATTTACATTATGATCATAACTACTGGTATTTACTATAGTGGTTATATAACTCAAAAATAATCCCTTCCTATCTACGGATAATCGGCTTTAACGGACCCCCCTCCCCTATTAGTCCGTTGATGAGAGGTTTATCTGTATTTGAAAACACAAGATTTTTTTTCTTACTCAGAATCGGTGACTTTCATATGAAACAGTCTTAAATTTATTAATTTTCCGATTAATATTTCCTCCTTTTTATTTCTATTACATATCGCTGACCGACATTCTACGGAATATCAACAACATGAACATTATGATGACGCTTTAGGTGGTCGAGGTAAATAAGGAATGAAAGACAGCAACCATATAAGTATCACCTGTTAGGCCGTGTGACGTACCTAGTAAAACATCTGTTGCGTTAACGTAGGTCTTTTTCGGAGGAAAAGGACGCGAGTTCGAGTCTTATCAAAGGCGTGTTCTTTTTTTTTCCTGATCCGCGCTGCGTACAAAAGATCGCAGAATGACGGCCTGAGTGTTGTAATAAAAGGCAACAGAAATTAAGGTTATGGAAATACTCGTCTAGAAATTACTGATAATTTATAAAGTTTTCTCTAAATATTTTGAAAAAAAATCACAACTAAGTCCTGTCCTCGTAGAATGCGCCACAGTGGTGACCTTGTACCAGACTTAGTAAATGGAGATATGGCAGTCACAAGACTTTCACATAAATACAACAGTCGAAGGTAAATTGAAAAAAATGCAAGCAACTTTATCATGGAGATTCACATATTTTTGCCATGGGCTGCTTCTTTTTGTTTCGAGGGATGAATTTAAGAAAATGGATGACAGAAGATGAAGGTATCAATGAAATAGCGAGCAATCGCCATTAGCACGCCAGGTATTTGTTTGCAATGGACACCGGGGTAGGGTGGGGGAGAGTCAGAGAGAAAGCAGAAGTCGCTATTAACTAGCGGGAAAATATTTTACTGTTTGGTGCTTGTAAATATTTTCTTTTAATATTATTCGCCCAATAAAAAGCTTGTGAGCCACTCAAGTTAAATGAGGTTGTTGTACAGGCGTACAAGATGGGAGCAAGTGGTGCAGATTATGAGGATATATAGGATAGATAATGGTTGACCCCTAGACTTGAAGAGGTCAGGATTGTAGCGGTGGGGAAGCATCATCTCGGGAGTCTGTTCCACAATGCAACAGTTCTGGGGAAAAAAAGCTTTCTGGGTGGAACTTCTTCCTTAACAATGGAATATGAAGGGAATGAAGATGAGTCAACACAGTGTGCGTGATAAGGCAGCTCCGAGCTGTGAAGGTCTTGGACTGGTGAAACCAAGGAATATAATTCGCTCGAATTCTGCCCTGAAAATAGCGCAAAGAGCAGCGAGAGGCTAGCAACGTTTCGTCTGTTGGAAATAGGTTTTAAGGTGGAAAAAATTCATCACCCATAAAGACGCGTATGCTTTGTTCAATTCTCTCGAGGTTGGAAAGGGAGTGCTGGGCAGCTAAAGTCTAAAACTGACAGCAAAATTCCATTTTTCGTCTAATCCGACTCTTGTATATAATCGGGTACTTTCCGGTGGGGTGCAAGGAACCAACACTTTCTCCAGCATCTTTAGTGATTAATAGTGTATTCTAGTTTCACTTGATATCTGGAATGAGCTTTAGACCAAACAGACGTTGCAGGCACCGAGCATCATTAAAAGTAAATCAGTACATCATGATTGAAGAAAACTCGGGGTCTGCTCTGTGATAATGAATGTTACTTGTTTGGTTTTGAATGTACTGAATCTTACAAGATAGTACTTTAAGCCGTGCGACCAAGGTCAAAGTAATTTATTAGCTACCTGTCTATGAACATCTAGATTTTTGGAAGTGGTATCATCTACATCGATATTTATTAGTAAATGACCCAGTAAGAGCTTTTGATCAATCCTTACGGATGTCGATGCATTTATTTCAATTATAAGTGTCATGTAAAAAGCAGAGGAGCAACTGTAAACAGTTCAACGGATGGGTAACTCCACAAGTGTACTTTAGATTTTTCATAGCTGCTCACCCACTTTGAACAGACTGCGATATATATATATATATATATATATATATATATATATATAGATATATATATATATTGAAACATGAGAACTCTTATGTAGCGATGGAATTATATTTTTAATTAAATAATTATATTTAGGCTCTACTTTTGTATCGAGCACTGTTTTTTTTAAAAATAATAACAAAAATACTAATGAACTTTGGATTGTATTTACATTAGTCGGACTATTGTCCTCATCACAGTGGATAAAGGCGTTGGTTCGATCCAGTGACAGACCCAAAGAAGGTGAGTTCAATTCCTGGTTAAGGCAGTGGAGAACTTTCAGAGGGAAAATTAGCAGGAGATAACTGATAACTGACATCCATCAAACATGGCACGTGGAATTAGAACAGTCTACCCCAGCGATCGAAATAAAGGGTTCAGTTCGAAATTCCAACCACCTGAAGAAGGCCGGAGCGTACAACGGCCGAAACGTTGTGACAAATATGGCGACAAAGATGGGGACAATAGTCCGACTAATGTAAATACTGTACATAATACCTCATCTCAGAAATATAGACAAACTCTGAACTTTGGATTATTTAGCTAACGAGTTCTTTCCTATTTTCTATATATTTTACACACACACACACACACACACACACACACACACACACACACACACACACACACATACACACACACACACACACACATATATATATATATATATATATATATATATATATATATATAATTAACGAATATTAAACACTTAAAATCCCAGAGGTAATAATTTTTATTTCATGAGAGCTTTAAAAAGCAGCTCTCAATCTTCTGTAGGTCTTGGGGATTGAGAGCTGTTTCTTAAAGCTCTCATGAAATGAAAATTATTACCTTTGGGAATTTAAGGGTTTGATATTCCTTAGTTAATAATAATTTTGCTCTGTCTCTTGACATAGAGATCTCTCCGGATTTATATCCTCCTGGAAATACTATACGCATTACCATATTGTATTATTACTATATATATATATATATATATATATATATATATATATATATATATATATATATATATATATATATTCTTTATTATAGGATATTACATTTGAACTTATGTAAAACCGCTGTATAAATGCATTCATGTTTCGATGCATATCATTGCATCTCATCAGGTAGTAAATGAGGGTTATTACAATTTCTAATTTTGTAAGTAAATATTAAAAATTGTAATAACCGTCATTTACTACCGCCTGATGAGAAGCGATGATATGCATCAAAACATGAATGCATTTATATAAGGGTTTTACACATGTTCGAATGTAATAAAAAGTATATATATATATATATATATATATATATATATATATACATTTAGGCAGTAACCTTTCTTTTAAACATCTTTTTTTATATATATATATATATATATATATATATATATATATATATATATATATATATATATATATATAAGATAATCTAAGAGTTAGGCAAACCTATTTAGATTTTCACCTAAACTGATCTTCAGGGAAATGCCGGCATTTCCCGGAAGATCGGTTTAGGTGAAACCCAGGTAGGTTTGCCTGCTGGTTCTTTTATGATTATCTTGGGTTTTGCTCTACTTAGTGTATTGAGCACTTTATGTAGTTGTCTTTTTACTCGTTGTTTTTTTTTTCTTTGGACTTGGAACTTAAACACTGGACGATTGTTTTCGCCTTGGTTTAATGTTCTTGGTTCTTTCTTTTTTTATTCTCCATTTTTCCTCGGCACCGATTTGTTCTACTGCAAGTTGAGTTATCCAATGTTTTTCCAAACGAGTACCACACACACACACACACACACACACACACACACACACACACACACACACACACACACACACACACACACACACACACACACACACACACACACACACACACACACACACACACACACACACACACACACACACACACACACACACACACACACACACACACACACACACACACACACACACACACACACACACACACACACACACACACACACACACACACACACACACACACACACACACACACACACACACACACACACACACACACACACACACACACACACACACACACACACACACACACACACACACACACACACACACACACACACACACACACACACACACACACACACACACACACACACACACACACACACACACACACACACACACACACACACACACACACACACACACACACACACACACACACACACACACACACACACACACACACACACACACACACACACACACACACACATATATATATATATATATATATACTATAAGAGATTATAATAAAACATGTTGAAATCGTTACACAAAAGCTTTCTTGTTTCAATGCTATGATTGTACCTCTTCAGGCAATGATATGTAACTTGTGATTAAACGATTTTTAAGGAAATTTAAAAACAAACTGTTACCTCTTTTCCGAAAGTTAAAAAGTGAGGAACATAAGGTCAGAATAAAAAATAGAGTTGTGGGTATGTCTTGATTAACCAATTAAATGACAGATCTACGCTAAATAGAAAAGTAGAGGGTGGAGTTGGGTGAGTTATTTTTTCATGTAATGATAAACCGGAACATAAACAGGCCATTAGGACATATTTTTCGCAGTCGTCACTGAATTAGTAAAGTTTAAAGTAAGAATGGATTACTATAGTTTAGAAAGACATTTGTTAACTGAATTCAGAGATATATTGGAGTTGAGAAGTTTGGAGAGACAATAAGTGAGTGACTGATTGCTTGCTTGATTGATTCGTTTTTTACGGCTTATCAACCCTTTTCAGTTTATTTAAAACCAGAAACTATTTTTGTAGATAAAAATAGTTTAGTGATACGCATCTTACTAATTAACACATAGCCGAGGGAGATTATGTGGATTCAGGCCTTACCTTAAGGGTATTTGTGCATAAATGAATATAATAACGGGAATTCGAACTCGGCTCTCTGATTAACAATATCGATCCATTACACCACCTACACATCGAAGCTTACAGCACCTGATATTTCCAAACGGTCATCCATCTAGGTATTGACTAGGGTTGGGTACTGATAATGCTTGACGTTGCTTAACTTCGGTGACCGTGCGGGAACTTGTGTTTCAAAGTGATCTGGGCGTAAGCCGACAATGGTTCACTGAAATTTCACATTGCTAAAGTTTAGCGATATATTAAATCTCCAAAGTTTAGAGTAAGGATAAAAGATGTTCAAAGA